ATTTAATACTATGATAACCAATTAATACTTTGACTATCTATTGAGGACTACGTTTCTAATAATTTTTACCGTTAATTAATCTCAAATAACTAAACACACATGCTATTGGCATATGACGGATGGACATACAACCAATGAATGCTCAACTTTTATATGATTTGTCGAAAAATTTCCTTAAAGAAAATTTGATCCCAAATAAGTAAAAGTTATAAACTTTCAATCTCATGGACCTATATGAGTGAATGAGGACTAAGACCTTTGAAAATCCTAAGCCTTTGATTTCATACAATCTTTTTAGATGAGAAACAATCCAGCAAGAATAATACAACAAGCTCCAAAGGTAGAAATGCTTTTTCATAACCTCATGACACTCTACGAGCCTTATGTTAGGATTGTGAACTATTCCTCTCGTATGAATTGACAACTTAGGGGATGAACCTTAAAAAGGATGGAGAAAGCTTGATAGGAAAGCTTTTATTGACACCATACCCAAGAGGTTATTCTAAAGAAGAAGTTAGTATTCTCTAAGATGGAGCCATCTATTAAAAAATCACCAACTGCCGAAGAAAGTAAAGAACATGGATGAACTATAATCAAAACCAAGTCATACAAAAAGAATACTAAGAAATTTATCTAATAGAGTGCCAAACTAGTAGTCGGGATCGCATAAAGAATGGTCTAACAAAAAAGGTAGTTGGCTTTCAATGGTAAAAAGTTTTAAAAAAGCACTTCTTAGAAAAAAAGAAAAAAGAAATCAAGACTTCATTATTGATAGAACCAATAGGAATCGGTCATCAACCTTGAAACTATTTCAAAAAATGAAGACAATAAACGTCCAAAGGCTCATAAAAAATTGGAGAGGAACCTTTTTGTAGAATTTCCCCAAAAAAACAACCTAGATAATGAATGGTAAAGACCTTATAAGAGGAGAGTGATTTATGAATTGTGGAGACTTCAAGTGCACTTTTAGTGTGAGGTTTAGAAAATTACTTGGGTTCATAGTAAGCATTAGAGGAATTAAAGTTGACCTTAACAAAATTTGAGCCATTCAAAGTATACCTTTTCCGTCAACTAAGAAAGAAGTCAAAGGATTTTTAGGCTAATTGAATTACATTGCTTACTTTATTTCTCAATTAACCAATACTTGTAAGCTAATATTTTGATCTGTTGTGAAAATAATCCCGGTGTGTAGGATGGGGATTGCCGGAAACCTTCAATCAAATCAAGCAATATGTACAAAGTTCATCATTATTAGTACCATAGGTACCGGGTTGACTTTGGATTCTATACTTATCGATGATAAATATGGTAGTGGGAAGTTTCCGGGCTAGCATAATGACTCGAGAAAGAAAGAACAAGTCATCTATTATTTGAGTAAGAAGTTCACTAATTTCGAATCAAAATATAGTGCATTTAAGAAGATGTGTGATGGTTTAGTATGGCGTGTACGATAACCTACACAATACATGCTTTATTGCACCACATTGCTGATTTCAAAAATAAATCTATTTAAGTACATTTTTGAAAAGCCACACATGTCCAATTAGATCGCAAGATGACAATTCGTGTTATCCAAATATGATATTGTATACATAACGGGGAAGGTAGTAAAAGGAAACATAATGGATGATTATTTGGTAGATAATGAAATAGATGACTATGAGCCTTCGAGGTTTGATTTCCTAGATGAGTCAATTATAATGATTGAAAAAGAAGAGTTGAAGCTGGATGATGACCTATGGTTTTGTACTTTAATGGAGCTATCAATATGTCAAAAAATAATGTTAGGTTAATCTTGATTTCAATAAAAGGAAAATAATTTTTAATGGCAGTCAAGTTCGCTATTTGAATGCATAAATAACATTATTGAGTATGAAGCATGTGTGTATGGTCTAGAAGTAGCCTCGGAGATGAAGATGTATACGGTGACTCACTCGCTCATAATCAATTAAGTGAAAGAGGAGTGACATACGAAAGATGAATCGTATCAAGAATACCTAACAAACCTAGCCGATTAATTTTAAGAATCAAGTTCACCCATCTAAGTAGAGAAAAAAAAATCCATTTTATCGATGCCTTAGCAATGATTGCTTTTATGATTAAAATTAAATTTGGTGTGAAGTTTCAACTTATATGCATTAAAACTAGAAATATTCATGTATATTGTTGTGGTTTGATTGAAGAAGAATCGGATGGAAAGTCATGGTACCATGACATCAAGTGCTTTAATAAAACCTATCCATTAGATGTAATCAAGAATGATAGAAAGACAATTAAAAGATTAGCAATCAATTTTTATCTTGATGATGAGATTTTATACAAAAAAATTTTTTATGGCTCTCAGTCGAGATGTCTAGATACGGTAAAAGCAAAGAAGACTATAAAAGAGGTCTATCAAGGGATTTATGCTACACATACCTATGGGCATATGATGACCCAACGATTCAAACAAAAGCCTCGCTTCTAGACCATCGTGAAAAAATATTACATCAATTATATACAAAAATACCATAAATATCATATTTATATCGATTAGATAGATGTTCCACCAAGCACATCTTTTTCATATGGTATCATCCTAGCTATTTGTGATGTAGGGCATAGATGTCATTAGATCTATAAATCTTAAGGCAAGTAATGAGCTCTATTTTATCTAAGTAGTAATTGATTATTTCACCAAGTGTGTTGAAGTTGCTTCCTTTACATATGTAACTCGAAGGTGATATGTTGATTTATTGAGAAAGATACTCGTTAGTAGATATGGCTCTCTTGAAACTTTGGTAACAAGCAATGCTAAAAACTATAATGGTAAAATGATAATAGATTTGTGCCAAACGTTGAAAGATAAAACACTATAATTTTTTTTCATATAGGCTTAAGATGAATGGGGTCATGGAAGCGACAAATAAAAATTTAAAAAAGATAATTCAAAAGATGGTGGTGACTTACAAGAGTTGGCATGAGGTGGTACCATTTATTATGCATGCTTATCGAACAACAATCGAACTTCAACAAGAGTAACTCCTTACTCTATATCATATGGAATAGAGGTAGTGATGCTTTTGAAATTTGAAATACTTTCTCCGAGAGTTTTGAAAAAAGTAGAATTAGAAGAATTTTAATAGGAAAAGATTCGATATGAGCAACTCGAATCTAATAAGTGAGAAATGACTTATTGTTATCTCGCCACATCCAACTATATCAAAGAAGAATGGTTAGAGCATATGATAAAAAGATACATCAAAGGAGCTTTCGGGAGGGAAGACACATGCTAAAAAAAGGTCTACAAATACTAAGGGTAGATCAAAGTAAATGAGTGTCAAATTATAAACGTCCATATGTGGAAACGAAATCATTTTTTGATGAAGCTCCCATTCCGAAAAACATAAATGGTAACGAACTACCAAACTAGTGAATTCGGATATCGTGAAGAAGTATTACAAATGAATTATAACTTTTTTTATTCAAAATGATAAAATATTTATTAAAATTTGAGCTAATTTTATGTATTAGCCTTTTCTTCTACTACTTATTTTTTTATTGCATCCAATTATCAAATATTTGATTTATCGCCCTTTTCAAAAATTGCTTTTTCAAATGTGATCAGTATTATCTCTAAAAACCCCTTCTTTGATCCTCTACATGGTAATGTATTAGTATTATCTATAAAATATGATAAACAATACAAAATATTAAAGAATGCCATGATAAGGAGATTTATCAAAGCTTGTATCTCGATAAGATCTTTCAAATCAAGATTCTAGGGGAAAGAAAATCGTGGGCCATTATAGACGATCCGATGAAGTCAAAAGAAATTTTTATAAACAAAAACCTTGACAAAGCTTGAAAAGAAAAAATCACCTCATCATTAAACATTGATCAAAGGGTGATGGCATGATCCGATGGCCCCTAAAGAACAACCACAACACAATGAATCGATAAGCCAGCCTTAAAGAAAGCAATAAGCCTTGCTCTTCAATTCTAAAAAGAAATATGACACTAGAGAGAAAAGAGAAAGTGTGGTTTAGATGGTTAAGATTTATATTTCTAAGAAAAAAAAGGTATAACTTGCAAGTCATGAATGCACAATCAATGACACCCTCTTTGTTCCATTCATTTACACCACTTACAAGGAATCGATCACCCTAGATAATAGACCAAAAGAATGAGGTGTGCTTTTTAGGTCGTGCTTTATTGTTCTCTTTTTTCTTATGCTCTCTATAAAAATTTCTACGTAAAGTCAAAGAATGGTCTTTTAATGATTTTGCGACAAAAGCATTATAAAAGAAGACAATTGTTATTACATAATTTTTTATCCCCTATTTATTTTTTTAAAATTATTAGAAAAACAAAAGAAATCATAAAGAAAAAGGAAATAATCATTTAAAAATAAGTTACTAAAATTAGTTTTAAGGGTCTAATTAAAAAGAACAAAATTTAAGGACAAGTATAATTAAAAAGCCTAAATCCTTAAATAAAAGAAAGAAAGGATACAACTAGAAGAAATTTAAAAAAAGCGATCCCGATTAATTATAATTTAGGGATGCTATTGAATTTTAAACAATAAAAATTACACTTAAATTAATGATTTAGGAGAAATCATGGACCAAAGTTAACCTTTACCTAAAAATCTTAATTCCCTATAAATAACCACATTTTCTCATTTTTTATACCCGGTTACTATTTATCTTCTCCCCAAAATCATATAGTCGAACTATCCCCGTCCATTTTTTGACCGAACCTCCTCCTCCCTCTCCACTTGACCAAACTCCCCTCCTCCTAAACACCACCTTCCTCCACCATCCATTAGAAATACTATTCATCGGCCTTCTCCAAAACTTGGCAACCACTATTTATCTTTTATTGTAGCCAAAACTTGGCTTCCCCACACAAAGTCATGACTCTCTCCTCCATTTTTCTCCTTGACCAAATCCTCACAAAGTCACGGCCACGGTCCTCTTCCATCCTAAGCCTTCATTTTAGCTAAAACCTCATTCATTCTAAGCCTCTATTTCAACCAAAACCTCTTCCATCCCAAGCCTCCATTTCGGCCATGAATCATAACCACCACAAGCCTCCATTTCATCTCCTTCACAATCGAAACAATCCCTTTTTCCTATAACCTAAAGTATTTTTCCTCCTCCTATTTCATCCAACAACGACACCGTCACCCACCTTAGCCGAAGCATACCAGCCTTTCCTCCACCATTTTCATCTCCTCTAATCAAGACAATCATGCCAACTCGCCACAAACCACCATTTTCCTCTCTCCCTACGGTAGTAAACAAGACATGACCTCTAGCTTATCTCCAACCCATGGCAGGTATGGTTGAGTAGTCACAAACCACCATTTTTCCTCCCTTTTGACTCCAACATCTTTTCCCTCACTTTGGCATGGCTGCAACAATATTCTTTACCCATTCCTAGGCCAAAACCTAACCAATTCTAGCCTCAAGTTTTAGACGTAATAAAACCAAAAATATGCAAAATATGTAGGTTGATTTATGCTAGCGATAAATAGGAACTAGAATTAATTTTTGGATAAAAAAAACATAAATAAAAAAAACATTTGTTTGATTGATTTTTGAGTTTGGAAGAAACAACATGATATTTTAAATTACACTCTTTGTTTTATTTCTAGCAAAAACAACATGATATTGTAGGTAGTAACCCTATTGCTACCAAGTCCCCCTCAACAAGTAGTAACTTTAGTAATGATAGTAACTTTGACAAGTTGTTGTAACTTTGACGAGTAGCAATAATTTAAATAAACTACGAGTAACTTTGACAACAATAGTAACTTTGACAATAGCGAGTAACTTTTACAACAAGTAGCTAGGCTTTTTCTCAACTAACTAAACAATCAATTCTCATCGGAGATGAAAAGAGTAGAACCGAACTCAAATCGGACATTTGAAAAAATTCAAAACCTTTCAAAATATTTTGGGCAATAATTCTAAAATACTTGTATCATTTTAAATCATAAATGAAAACTATCATATTTTATCTATTGTTTCATTGTTTCGAAATGAATGAGATGAATATTTTTTTAATTGTGTTTATTGATAAAACTTGAAGTCCAAAGGGTTGGGGACCCCGAGCATTTTGAGGCAAAATAAAGTTAGTGATCAATGCTTTATGATGGAGTTGAGAGGACTCGGATTAGATTTAATTTCAATAATGGATCCGAGATAAATGTTGATCATGATGTTTTCATATTTACGTTATGCTTTTGTTTGTGCTTGTGATTTGGTATGTGTGGTTGTGATGTGTTGAATGCATAATATATATGCCCAAACCATTTTTATCTAATTTTTTGATTTTTTAAATGAAGTTCGTCGATGACATCTCATTTAGGTGAAAAAGCCGATAGTGGTTTTAAAGTCATATTGCATGTTTTTTGCTTGTTCAAAATAAAGCTATCGATAGCTTCTTAACTATTTGAACGAAGCTATCGGTTGCTCTTGAACCATTTTTATCTAATTTTTTATTGTTGAAATGAAGTTATATCAATGGCTTTCCATTTATGTGATAAAATCACTAGTGGTTTCAAAGTCATATTACCTTTTTTGCTTATTCGAAATGAGACTCGTTAGTGGCTTCCCATCTATATGGTCAAAGTTGCCAATGGCTTCTAAGTCTTTTGCTACCAAATGATTTTTATCATAGGTTGCAATCCTAAGGGACTTGCCATTTTCTTTTCAAATGATTTTTTTATAGGCTTAAGTTATAAGAGACTCGATCACTTTTATTCGATAGAACATCTCTATTATGGGCTACGATCATAAAGGACTCATCATTTGCTTTCCAAATGATTTCTTTTATGAGCTTAAGTCATAAGAGACTTGTCATTTTTATTCCGACATAACATCTCCGTTATGGATTGTAGTCACAAGAAACTCACCATTTTCTTTTCAAATGATTTCTTTTATAGGCTTGAATCACAAAAGACTTGTTATTTTTATTCTTATAGAAAATCTCCGTTACAGATTGTAGTCACAAGGGACTCGTTATTTTCTTTCCAAATGGTTTCTTTTATATGCTTGATTTATAAAAGACTCATCCCTTTTATTCTAACAAAACATCCTTGTTACAAGCTACGATCACAAGAGACTTATCATTTTTTTAAATAATTTTTTATGAGCTTGAGTCATAAGAAACTTGCCATTTTTATCCGATAGAATATCTCTCGCTATGGGTCACTGCTGATCACAAGAAACTCGGTTTTTCTTTCCAAATAATTATTTTACCGATTTGAGTCCTAAGAGCCTCGTCACTTTTATTCGACAAAACATCTTCATTATGGGCAGCACTCATAAAGGACTTGTCATTTTCTTTTAATGATTTCTTTTATAGGTTACGATCACAAAGAACTTGCTAGTTTTATTTCATTTAAATGTTTCTTTTTTATGTTGTTGGTGGCATCCCACTTGCGTGAATGGAGTCACCAATGACCCCTCATCCTTTTACTTGTGTGAACCAAAATTATCGAGTGACTTCTTATTTATATAGACAAAGTCATTGGTAAATTTTTAATTATATTGATATGTGCTCGTAATTTGAAGAGACATTTTTTTTCCAATATAGGTTTGGAATGACTAGTGTTTTAGCTAAAATTCTAATTCTTATCTATTTTTCCCTTTTTTGAGTATGGGTATGGTCTTGCATCGACCTAAACCTCAAATCACTCTATTATTCCATTTTGATGAAATAAATTTACTCAAATAGGCATAGAAACATAACATAATAAAAATACACTTTTATTTTCACATACAAATAATGCAATCTACCTCATGTAGGATGGGATGGCGATGATGTTATATCTTTTCCATATATAACCGACCCCTTATCTAGATATCTATTCGGATCAGCTTTTTTATGGTTTTTTAATTTTTCTCGATTAGTCGGGTGATGACTCATTTCCTCGCTTGTTCCTATAACCTCGTCAACAATATAGACCCAAAGAAAAGGTCATTGATGGCCATATTTTCATTTGAAATGATTTTTTTTTCTTTTTTAGATAGAAATGTTTCCAAAAAGCATTGTGGTCGTTAAAAAAATAATATAAAACCGACAACGTGTCGCACCACTAGTAAATTTGATTATTTTTATTTCTCCTCTCTAGACCTAATTACAAAATATAGTTGGGGCAAGTCGGGGTTGATCGCATGGAGATATGGTTTAATCAATGTTCTTTTTCTTCGATTGCTTCAAAGTGGAGTACGGGAAAGGTTTCTTTTTTTTTTTTTGGCAAGGAATAAGGAAAATCAAAACTAAGCAAAAAGATAAACAATAATAATAGAAGCGTTGGTTAAAGGATTGTTTCCACTTTTGGTTCTATCATTGATCATCGATTCAAATATTAATCAATTCTTATTATGAAGATTTACTATAAGATAACAACATGTATGCTATCTCTAATCTTTCCTTAGTGATTCATTAATCAAATAGACGTTATTTAATTAATCCTTAATTATTGAACAACCTAATATATGCTATCTAGATTTAATCTAACAATAACTTTAAATAATAGAAAGATAGATAAAGCTAAACAACTCTTCTAGATGCTAGAAGAATTTAATCTAGTTTTATGTCTTTTCAAGAGATTAAATAAAATCTCATTTATAATCATTAACCCCTAGTTGCTACTACAATTAATTTTAGATAAGCAATTACGGACTTGAATACTTAGCTAGTAATATATTATAATAATTAATCAACTAGTGGGCATTCTAATCAATTAATTATAAAACCATATTCATATAACATAGAAAAACATAAAATATTCAAAATAATAGGATTAGAGATAAAAATCTTTTAGATCTCATAACAAGTTTACCAAAGGTTTCGACTTTCCTTAAACCGAGAAAGGGTTTTTTAGAGTTGCAAGGTTTTGTTTAAAAAAGTGACATGGCTATTGGAATGAAAAGATGAATCAATATAAAACCCTAACTTTTCTATTTATAGCTAAGAGATAAGGTCACAACACACACATAGCCACCTCACAAGGACACATGATTTGTTTATAATGACACACAACTTGCTCTTTGGATTTACACGGTTTAGACCCTTGAACAACTAGTGGCACACGACTTGCTTGACTTAGGCACACAATTGTATGTCATTTGCACTTCATCTCATATCTTTTTTTACTTCATCTCGTGTCCCTAGCTACTACCTATGTGGGTTTTTTTGTTTTATCTCATGTCCTTAGCTATTGCCTATGTGGTTTTTTTTTTTTTTTTTTTGCTTCATCTCATGTCCCTAGTTGTTGCTTACGTGTCTTTCTTGCTTTAAGCCTTGTCCCTAACTCGATTAAGCTTGTAGATCTTTAACAATTAGCTTGAATAGACTTGATACATGTCGAATTCAAGTTTTCTTTCTTCATAAAAGTTGTAGACCAATTCCTTATCTTTCTAACACATTAATTCTTACATTAATTGTAGATACACAGACTTCAGTTATGAGCTAAATCCTAAGATTGACTTAACCTATTAGCCAAGCCTTATGATTCCACTTTACGACTGAATTCCTCAATGAGACCGACCTATTTTGGACTCGAAGACCTCATAATAATTATAGGTATGACTCTAAAGTATTTAATAGGCTTGGTCGTACATCAATTGGAGTTTTAAAACTCTAGATATGGATTAAATTCCATAACTAATTTGGACTCCGAATAGGATTCGAGTCGACTTTTTAGATCGAATATAAAATATCATTTTAGAGACATAAACAAACTTGGGTTTTGACCCACTATATCATTCAAGAAAGATGATATGTCCTCTACAAAGTCTTTGAAGACCTCTTATTCCAAATCTAAATTTAAGACTTCGAAAAACTTATGAGAAGTTTGGAAGCTCTAAGTTAATCATGTTGGAATTCTCTAACTTTTAAGCACAATTATTCTAAAACCCTAGTTTATGTCTTTCACATAAATATGAGCATAGATTATCACAATAAGAAAAAATGTAGCAAATAAACTAAATATAAAGAGAATAAAGATGTAATATAATGTTTCTATCAAATTCCTCCACACTTAGGTTATAAAGATATAATATAATGTTTCTATCAAATTCCTCCACACTTAGCTTTTGCTAGTCCTCGAGAAAAATAAATAAAACAAAAGCCTAACTCACTTTCATAGGAATCATGATTATATTTAATGTATGCAATAAGCCTTTAAATCTTTAGGTTATCCCTAGTGAATGAGTAGTGTCTCGTGAGAGTTTTTAGAAGATATACCTATAAAATCTTAAATGAAAGTCATGCCAATATGATTATCCTTCAAAAATTAATTCTTAATTCAAAATCCAACAAAATCAAATAGTTAAATCAATCATGTTTAAACTATTATTCTCATATCCATCCATGATTATAAATTGATTTATGCATCATTATAACCGATTAAGCATGCAATA